AATGGTAAAGAAATGATTCATTTCCAAATCCTTCTGGTGACTTGAGATATCCGTGTCCTCCCTATTTGGGAGGTCTCAAGTGCGGGGAAACCCTTCTGAATCGTGACATTCCCCATTCTCGGTGGCCAAACAAAAATCTACATGGGCACAACAAACCGCTACAGCAATGTCGATGCATTGTCGACGGCCGGAATAGCGCGTCTGCATTGCCGTGTAGGGTCCGATCGACCGGGAATCCTTGCTACGTGGGCGCTCGGAATGACAAGTGGGATCTCAATCGCATCCCGGTACTCTCGGGATCCCGCCTCTTGTCTATGTACCCTGCAGCGCCTGAGGTCTCCCCGATATGCGCGAAACATATCTCACACGCCACGTCCATCCGACCGAGCTCTAACGCGAGCTTAGTTGGTACCATCGCTCGTCTAGGCGGGTAGTCAGCGATTGCGAGGGTGCTATGTATTCGGAAGATGACTGACAAATGCCGAATAGTAGGAAAATCAGTCATCCCAATTAATCTCTGTATAGTACCTGCTGACCCTCCCCTATATAAGAGAACGTGCAGACTGATCATGGCAGTCAACAGCGATATCTTTGAACATTCACAGTCATGCCAGAGCAGATTACTCTTTACACCGCAAAAGTGAGTGATGTCTGTGTACTGTATTAGCCAGATTCGTCATGATGATCAATCATATCCTCTATAGGTTTGCCCTTTTGCTCACAGAGTCAGCTGTCGCTGTCGTTGTCGTTCCCGTTGGTTCGAGTCTGACCAGCTTCTCCGGACCAGGCGGAACTTGCGCTTGCAGAAGCGAAAGTTCCTTTTACGCGATATGAGATCGACCTTCAGAACAAGCCAGAATGGTATGCGCCGAAGGTCAATCCCGCTAGTAAGGTCTGCGTCACTCTCTTCCAGCTACTCTTTAAGGAGACTCGCTCACCTATGCAGTCCATGATAGGTCCCCGCCATCGCGTACGGAGGCCCACAAGTCCCTCCGGATCAGCCCTCTCCTGAATCCGTCAAGCTCGCGGAGTCACTCGTCCTCGCCGAGTTCATCGGCGACCTGTTCCCCGAGTCAGGCATCCTGCCCAAGGACCCCGTGAAGCGTGCGCAGGCCCGTTTCTTCATCGAGGGCGTCTCGAGCAAGTTTATCCCCGCCTACGTGTCCTTCATCATGAAGAGCGAAGGCTCGGGAGAGGGCCTCTACAGTGCTCTCGAGTACCTCCAGTCTCTCCTCCCCCCTGAGGGCTTCGCGGTCGGCGAGTACTCCCTAGCAGATATCGCGATTGCGCCGTTCTTCGGGCGCGCTCGTGTCCTCCTCGTGAACGACTTTAGCAAGGGTAGGGCCGTAGGGGAAGGCGCGAAGATTTGGGAGACGATCAACACTGGGAAGTTTGCGCGCCTTGGGAAGTATGTCGATGATCTCTTCCAGCGCGAGAGTTATAAGGCGACATTCGATGAGGTACGTCTCAAGCCCTATCGAGGAGGCACGGTTCTCACACCCCAACAGGCGGCCAATAATGAGGGGTACAGGAAGCTTTTTGCCCGAGCTTCATAAATAGGGAATAGGAGATAGCATGTGCTTCACCGCGCAGAACCGTGAATCGTGTTCTTTATGTCTACAGGCCGGAATGTCAGGACGACGCAATGACCCGGCATGGGGCAGTAAGAGGTGTTATTGGGGTCTCGACAACTGATAAGATGAAACTCACCAACAGTGACACTCCTTGCCACTGCAGGGTCTAATGAGGCGGCAATCGTTGCTATGTAGACGTTGGAAGGTTTCGGTCGGTCACCTACGGTCGGGATCATGCATATGAGTACATGTGTCTGTGAAACCGTGGGCGAGCTTGTCAATTTGGCGGTCTAGTATTGGTTATAGACACCGTGGGCGCACTCAGTATAGGTGCTAGACGTCGTATTTAGCGCATCCAGTCCATCTCCTGCATGCAGTACGAGTACAACCCGCAGGTCAACTTAGAGAGGCGCTCGAGAGCGTGCAGTGAGCGCACCGTGGGAATAAGACTGTTTTCTCATGTTCGACACCAAAGTATTGATGCCGAACGCTTGCATCGCGGACTGCGACTTCGATTCATACTGTCCGCTCGTGCTTGCTACTTTTTCCGATACACGATCAAGGCCCAGCATGACGCATACGCACTGTACCAAAGTCAGACTCGAGCAGGGAACCTGGACTCCACTGGGCATTTCGACACATTCCCGGACTGAGTCATCCTGTTATCGAATCACAATGCAGTAAAGGTCCACCGTTCATATCTGCTATGGCATTTGTTTGTGGATTACACCACACCGACGATCGGCAAGTATTCATTATCTCGGCTATGGTCAAATTCCTCCCCCGAGGTCTATGTGCAAGTACGCAATAGCGCCAAATCGCACATCCATTAAGGTCCGAGAAACCAAGAGTCGTTGCAAGGCGGAGGCCCGTGAGGATCCCGCTATGTTCGAGTACGGTCGGGGTTGTACTCGCGCTTGTGCGCTAGATATTAGGCCTTCTTGAGGCATTCGTTGTATATCCTTGAATCTGCGGAGGTAAGTCAACTTGTCCAACATCGTATCTCGCGTGCCACGTCCGTTTCAATCAAGTTATGACACGAGCAGTCGCGCTATGGTTCGCCTTGCCTGATCGCCTGCCCTGAGACCGTGCAAAATCCGACTTGAGTACACAGATTACAAAGCAAGCACATCAGTCAGCCAAACTGTGTCCAGTCGGCCACGATGAGCACGTCGCATGACGACATTGCCGCGGAGTCTTTCCACGAGTATGATTAGCCATGGGACTGATCCCTACATATAAGACTGGCGAAGACAATCAGCGACCCTCCCAGCCTTGACAGACATGCCGGAACAAATCACTCTCTACACCGCCAAAGTGAGCGGTTGATGTTCGTTCACTTCATTCTAGTCGTGATGCTCACCATCGATCTCGTCGGGTCCCACAGGTTTGCCCCTTTGCTCAAAGGGTCAGTAGCGCCTGGCTGGCATTCAGCATCAGTTCAGTTTTGACCCCGATGCCTGGACCAGGCGGAAATCGCTCTTGCGGAAGCCAAGGCCCCTTACACGCGGTATGAGATCGACCTTCAGAACAAGCCCGAGTGGTACGCGCCGCAGGTTAATCCTGCGAGCAAGGTCAGCATTTTCCTCGCGCCAACCCCCTCGTGCAGAGGACTCATGTATCAAATGCAAGGTCCCCGCCATTACGTACGGTGGCCCTTCGGTTCCTCCTGACCAGCCTTCCCCCGAGTCCGTCAAGCTCGCGGAGTCACTCGTCCTCGTCGAGTTTATCGGTGACCTGTTCGCCGAGTCAGGCATCCTCCCCAAGGACCCCGTGAAGCGCGCTCAGGCCCGTTTCTTTATCGAGGGCGTCTCGAGCAAGCTCTTCCCTGCCTACTTGTCCTTCATTGTGAAGAACAGCGGCTCCGAGGAGGACCTTATCAAGGCTCTCGAGTATCTTCAGTCTCTCCTCCCCCCTGAGGGCTTCGCGGTCGGCGAGCACTCCCTCGCAGACATTGCGATTGCGCCGTTTCTTGGGCGTGCCCGGATCTTCCTTGTGAACAACATCGGCAAAGATCCGACTGCAAGTGAAGGCGCGAAGATTTGGGACACGATTACTACGGGAAAGTTCGCACGCCTTGGGAAGTACATCGATGATCTTTTCCAACGCGAAAGTTACAAGGCGACTTTTGATGAGGTAGGTCCAGGATTCGGTCACCTTGGTATGGTTCTCACAGTTTTGCAGGAGGTCATCACTGCGAGGTTCAGGAAGCATTTTGCCCAGGCGTCGTGAGTAGTTGAACGATCTGATGTACGATCATGGTGGTTGGTAGTGCAGAGAACATAAGGTGACCCTTGCAGATTTCACTTGTGCTTCCAACGTGGCAAGGTTAGTTAGGTAGAGGGGCTGCCCAATCGCAGTCGTTTGAAAGGAAGCCGGCGTGTGCAAACTCTGGCGTGCCCTGCAGTAACTCGATGTCGAGACCGCCCGTGCAGAATGATCGTGTTCCTCATTTTCTAGAGTTTATCCCGTCGACCTTCGCTCCGGGTCGGTTGTCATCGCAGAATCAAAGTTGTAGCTTACCCGTGAGACCTTTCCCTTTCAGTCTTAAGCAGCGATGGAATACTTGGATTTGAACCTCGCCGCCTAGCAATGTCAGCCGGGACGTCGAGGCGCGTGCACGTCACCGTTCACCTTGTCGTTGCTCGATAAGCGCAAAGACTTTCGTACACGTGAGGGTTGAAACTAATCCTGCACAGCCGTTTGTAACCGAGAGGTAGTTGTCGCCGGTGGGTTACGTACAGTCCTCGAATTGGGATCTTCGGGACCCACTTTGTCTTCCTGGAAAACCTAGGGTTCGCGAGCCCGACTTGGAAGAAGCTCACCTACCAGTTTGCACTCAGCTCGGAGCTGCACAAGAGGAAAAGATGTAGGACGTAGTATTCATTACTAGGAGATACATCTAGTTCGACCCAGCCGACGCATGAACTAATTACGAGTGTGAAAAACGAGGGTGTGCAATCCGGACGAGCCAAAGTACAGCGAGGGCGGCCGTCCGGAGGGTAGGGTATGTACAGCGGTACGAAAGGAGACCGTACGATTAATCACGGCGCGCACGAGTAGGGGCTCACGCGCCACAATAAATACCGAGGAGCGCAAACGGGAGAAAGCAAGGGCGAGAGAACAGAAGGACGAAGAAGGCTACAAGTTGGGTTTGGGTGACCGTCGTGAGGGAGCAGGTCGTGAGGAAGGGCGAATGCTACAATAATCATAGAGTTCAGTGTGGCGGGCCGTATGCTGTGTGGGTTTAGGATGTGGAGTGAAGGGAGACGATGCAAGGAGCGCGTTCACTATGGATACAGTCAACCAGAACGAGGGCGAGAGATAGAATTGGAACCGAGGCCCGAGATGAGAGGAGAGAAGAGAAGTCGTCAGAGGTCGTTACCGTCACCACCGTATCACCGATGCCTTCACATCTGCATCGCGTTCGCCGGCCCCGCAGCAGTACTGAGCAGCACCAACGGGATAGGTTTCCGCCTCAAGCCCGAGCTCGCCGTGCTCTCCCCGCTGTCGCTCGCGCTGCTCTCGCTCACGCGGCTCGACCGGCTATCCCGCCTGCTCACGCCGCGCTCCGAGTCCATCGACCGCTTCGGCGAGTGCGAGCTCTTCACCGCGTTCTTCCGCTGCAGGTGCGTGTTCACCGGGGCGAGCACAGGGGCCGGCTGCGGCGCCGCGTGCTTGCTGCTGCTGCCGCCCTTGCCCTTCTTCGAGGGCGAGAGCGTGAACCGCCCGAGCCAGCTGTGCCCGTGCGAGTCCGCGATCGAGCCGAGCGTCGACGTCGACCAGCGCGAGCGGAGCGTGCGCTCCTGGTCCGCCAGTGACCCGACAGAGCGCATGGACGGCGTGCGGCGGGGCGTCGGTGCGTGCACGCGCATCGGGCTGTCTGGGGTCGCGGGGCGCTCGGAGGGCGCGCGCACGTGCGAGACGTCGATGTCGAAGTCGAACGAGGACAGGGGCGAGGCGGGCGCGGAGTCCGTCTGGGAGTACACGCTCATGCTGACTGCGCTCACGGGCGTCGTCGGCCACTGGTGCTGTTGGGGGTTGAGCCGGTTGGACATTGAGGAGGTGGGAGGGGTGAAGAAGCTGCACATGGAGGGCGTGTCGATCGGGCTATCGCAAAAGTCGAAGATGTCGGCAGGCACGGACGAGCGAGGTGGCGGGCGCATGTCGTTGGACGCAGCGCTGCAGGGTGTGAGGGGGCTCTTGACGATGAAGTGGGAGCTAGGCGAAGGCGGGACAGAACCGGCGTCCGAGAGGGCGCTGTGGGGGAAGGTGAGCTCCGTTCCGAGGAAGCCGGCGCCGAGTGCCGCGTTGGCAAGTTCGGCGAGGAGCTCCTCTGTCGCCTGTTCCATTGCCGACAGGCTGGGAGATCTCGGTGGGCAGCAGACAGGTGGCGGCGGGGGAGGGCGAGAGGGGATGAGGTAGGAGCGACGCTTCGAGGGGAAGGTGGGGTCCAGCTGGGCGCTTGGGCTGCGCTCGCCGCTATCCTGGATGGAGATGCGCGGCAAGGTGGGGACGGGCCTGTCGCCACGACTATGCTTGCGCGGAAGAGGGACAACGGAGTCGGGACGGGCGCGGGGGTCGCGTGCGGGTCCAGACGCCTCGAGAGGGAACGCGGGCGGAAGAGGGGACGCGAGCGTGACAATCTCGGAAATGTCCTGCGCGAACCATGCGACCTCCTCCGAGACATCGTCATCGAGGAGCGAGGTGATGGATGTCTTGCGCGGAGCCTCCGCGAGGTCCGGCATCGACTGCATGAAGAGCACGGATGCACGTTGGGACTTGAAGGTGGGAGCGCGCATGAGGTGCGATTCCTTACTTGGAGACTCGTCGTCGTCGGAAGTAGGTGGCGTCGAGCAGGGGGTTTTAGGGCTGCACGTGGACGCGTCGCTGCTGGTGAGAGATGGAGAAGGTGATTGTTCGCGGTTCCTGGAGAACGATGGATTGCGGGTTGCAGAAGAAGGCGGAGAGGGGAAATCAAGTGATATTCCGAGACCAGAGAAGCGTAGGTTGATATCGTCGAGGGGAGATTCCGTTCCCGACGATGATGTTACTAACCGTGGAGGGGGCGTGATGGGGCGAGGTGGGGGTGATGGTGTGCGCACCCTAGGGGCGCTTGATGGGGGGAAGAAGTCATCGAAAGTGAGACCCTCGACTCCAGTCAAGACGACCCTGCGGGAGTCACGCTTGTCGTGTTTGGGTCGAGCGCCGAGAGTCGCGCTGGCAGTGACAAACGGGGAGGGTTGATACGAGGATGGGTTCGGGTTGGTAGGCAGCGATGACAGTGATGAACATGACTGGCGGCTTGGATACTCGTCTTCTTCGGCGACGTTAGGGAGGATGTGAAGGGGTTTCGCCTTGGCCGGAGAGTTCTCAGCCTTGTTGGTCGGACGAGAGCGTCGCTTGAGGTTTGGCAGAATCCGATTATGCGAGAAAACTGATCCCGAATGTCAGCTCGAAAGGTTGTAGACGAGTATATGGCAGGCGGAGCGGACTCACTGGATGCCATCGTAGAAGTCGTCAAGGATCTTGGAGAGGAATCTATGTGAGATCGTCGTCAAAGGGAGGCTGGCTCAAAGCAAAGAAAGCGATGAGGAGATGGAGACAAGGGAGACTCTGCCCAGCAGGAGCTTTAGTATCGCCCACCAAGTTCCCGGCCTTTTGTGCGCTGGGCTCCATTGTCTTGCACACGGCCGTCGTCGACGAACTGGAACAATAATGCCTGACGTATTCGGAACAATAAGCACGCATCAGGCGCCCGCGCTGGCCATTAGTGTGAGGTAATAACCGACTAACACAGCATATAACTGCTGCTTTGGTCGTGTTTGTACGCCGACCCTACCATATACAAGGCCAGCTTCCTTCCGCATATAGGAAAAGGCGCCCTCCGCTCTCGGCGATGCAAATGAATAACGCACTGGAACGCCGGGCGTCTGAAAGTGTACCTTGTTCTCGAGCTGTGATCAATATTCTCCTTGCTTTCGTGGATTTGGGCATGTCCTGCTGGCCTATGCCTGCTTCTGCGTGTGCGCCTGGCTGTGCTTCCGTGGTCTGTATCTTATCTCCGCACGCTCTTCGTCATCTCGAATACTCGCAATTCCGCCCTTTCCTGCGCTCATTCATCGGTGTATTGACACGTCTATCTGCTCCCGTCCCTGTAAAGTTCTCTTGCGTGCGCTTACGCAAACCCTAGGCTTGATCTCTCAGAGCCCGCGTTCCAACACGCCCACCTCGCTAGCATGTGCGCTGTCCACATGTTGTCTAGCAGTGTGTTCTTATTGTCTATGTCCTCACTCCGACGACCTGCCAGCGCTGCGAGAGTTTCTGTCCCTATGTTCGAAGATTAGCGTCACGGCTTTCCCATGCATGCTTGGGCGCGCTTCCGTCCTGTCTCTTCCATTGTGCCCTTCTTCTAGATCTGGTATGCCCGAGACGTCGAGCTTCTTCCGGCCCGCGCAGGAAGCGGGAAGTTGCTCACTACACATGCCATGACGATGCTTCATATTTGGTGTGTGCGCATGTCGATGAGTTATTGTTCGTGGAGACGACACATAGCGTGCCTGCAGTGCGTACTTTTATGCAACATCTATGACGTCCCGTGCGTGCTTACATCCTGCCATGCGTAGGCTACCTGCGCCCTCGACATCGTAACTCTTGCGATGATGTGTACCTAACTGGTGGCCCCTCCATATCAGCACCTCTATTCGCGCGATGATGACTAGATCGCATTGTCCTGCACGAGGTCAGCATGTTGTGATTATCGCGCATCGGCAGCCAGATTGCAGGTATGGCACGACGTTACGGTCGCCCTTGGTGTCTTTCACAGACTATATGCGCTTTCCAGCATCGCCCCCACAGACACAAATAGACCAGGTCCACTAGAGTCTGTCGTCTGCTTACCTTTACGGCTCTGCTCCGGATGAACCCTATGACATCGTCTGTTAGGAATGCAAGGGGCGGTGTTGTGCGGTGCTGCGTTCGTGCCTTCTGGTGACCATCTTCTCCCTCTTCCTTCCTAGGGACAGCGTCCCTCGTCGTGAGGTTCGTGGGTCTCGACCATACTCGAGGAGGCTCGGCAATCGTGGATTATATTGGGTACGTGACTCCGTTCTACGCCCCAGGCTCTGTATATGCGTGTTGCCATTCGCGTTCAGGATGGCGGTCCCCTCCGCCATTGTGGCGCGAGGTAGCTGGCGGTTGGTGGCGGCGACAAGAACAAGAATCGGCACACACGAATCAAATATATACCTTGGGTGAGCCGACTTTTGCTCCGAATCTCGCAGATTTGCTTACGCTGCAGGGAACCCGGGACGCCCGAAGTGGGAAGCAGGTTGTCTGTCGATGTCTTTAGTTATCCCCATCTACTTCACGTCGCTCTCGAAACAGGCACGTCCCCACATCATCATAGGGTGCAAGCCTTCTCATCATCCCAATACGACGGTCGGACGACTCGTACCGCCTTCACTGCCTCGTGGCCAGGCCACCGTCATTTTGTGGGACCTATCAGTCCGACCCCAAGTTGGCTGAAACCTGTCTCAGCGAAGCTCTTCGTTGGCCCCCCTTGAGCGCCCTCGGAGTATACCTCCGGGCGCCCGCGCGCTCGTCGCGTGTCGCGTTGTACCATATATACTTAACTTGAAGGCTGCTGCCGAAGCCGCTCATTTGTGATTTCTCCTTCCCAACGGAGCTCTACTGATCATCATAGTTCGATTGAGTCAGCTGAGACTACATAGGATGCTACAGTGCCTCGAGCAGGTTATGACGCAAGCTGCAGCAGTCGAGGCCTGCAAGTATTGTTGTCGCACACGCTGGATTTGCGTGGCATGGGTCATTGCTTTATGAGGGTACACCGTACGCACGGGAGTTTGTCCCGTCGTGCTTCCCTTTGGTCAGGACTGCGGATGACTAGCGCTGATCTTCACATTTTCGTTCAGGTAGCGTTGACAGCGGTTTCGGAGAAGAGCATGGCTCTAGTGCCGAGACGTACAAATCGATGACTGTTCTCGGAGTCGACGGCACTAGTCGTGGATTTGTATGAGCGTTCGCAGTATCTTCGTGCTGGTTCTTATACCTACCAGGCATGCCCGGAGCAGACAAGCCGACTCGGACGCCCCGCTGGCTTTGCACACGACTTCGACTGTTTTCCATAAGCCAATCCGCTATGATCATGACCGAGAAGGACCCTTCCGCTGTCAAAGAAGACCCGTACCACTACCAGAACAGCCAATCCCACTCTACGTCTATCTACGACGTGACCCCATCCTACAACTTCAACGCGCCCAGCCCTTTCCCCCTCGCCCTCAACACCCAAAAATCACCTTCCCCTCTCCTCACCCCCGATAGAGGCCATGCCTTCTTCTCCACCTTTGCGCCCTCGCCCGACGGCACGAGAGGTCCCGAGCTCTCAGGCGACAATCCGAAAGGCTTCATGGGCCACGTGAAGAACTTCGCGCCCGGAAAGGCGCCCAAGAAGCTCCTCGACCCCCCGCCCGCGTCGTTCCTGCGCCCGCCCGCTTCGGGGCTGTCGTACGGCGCGTTCCCGGTGATGACGCTCCTCTCGAAGGGGAGCACGCTCGACCGCGGCTTCCCGTACATCTCGCCCGAGTGCGGGGTGGGGGTCGCGCCGCACCCGTTCGTCGCGCACGACGTGAACGAGCAGGACTGGCGGCAGTTCTTGCACGATGTACGCGTCGCGGGGAGCTTGAGCCCGATGAACCGGGTCGTGTCGGGCCTGGCGCCGTTGGCGCTGCCGGGGGTCGGGATCATCTTTGGTGCGTTTCGAGTTCTCGTTCTGTGTGGTGGCACGCGTGATGGGGTGTTAACTGGGGGCGTTAGGCTTCTTCGTGGTGAAGGGGTTAGACAGCATGATGAGGAGGACGAAGAAGGGCCCGGCGTCGCAGCTGATCGACCATTGGAACCACGTACGTTACGTTCGGCTGTCCCCGTGGATTGACCTGGCTGCTTACCCAGGCGTTCTGCAGTACTTCTTTCACCCTCGGTGTATACATGTAGGCCTGACTCAGGGTCCGCCCAAAACCTGGAAGGGCAGGCCAGACAGGTCACAGGGTTGGGACAATAACTGGCGATTGATTATATCGTACAGGCCATACACTCCGATGTAGCGTGCAGGCGGCAGAGTCTGGACGTCATACTAGATCGTTGTCTGGCCCTGACATTGACCGATAGATATAACTAATCTCAGTAGGCCATGAACAAATTGGAGTCTAGCTTACTGTAGGCTACCCGCGCCGTTGCAAATTGGTTTTTTTTACATGTGAGCCGTTCTGACGACCTGCAGAAGTATTTCATGTGCACGCCACCATTACGATGGAACACCATCTAGTGGGCTTGACTATATATCAGATATCCACAGCAATCCGCTACTCTGATGGTTTCGCAGATTAATTCTACAGATGCCGGGCTATACAGAACGCGAGCCGATCATACACGGGACCGAGAAGGACCTCTGTCCAACCCCAGATACGCGAGAATCGTAGCCTTTGGCGTTGCCTACGTCTAGATTGTATTGTCCTCTTCAACGCTGTCATGGTCAAACGACAGTTGACCTCCCATAGATTTGATGAATCTGTCGATATGGCTTGATGACGTCTGGGGCTCGAATGCGAGCTCAGTCCCCTCCGAGATGGACTGAAACGAGCCCTCCTGTCGGCGTTTGGCTAGTTGAAGGTTGATGAGAAATCTCGAGGTGAGGACAGAAGTCAAGCTAGGGGAATTTGAGTTGGAGCTTATACGGTGAGAAGACTTGAAGGAAGTACGTACGGTTCTTCTATCAGAAGGACGACACTGCTAGGACTGAAAGGATCGTTGGCGATCTATTTGACGTCAGACTCAGATTAAAGCTTCGCTGCCGAACCCCATACTGACCGAGCTGAGAGTGAATGCGATGTGCAGGACATTGAGGATGAGTAGTATTCTGTTGCTGATGTCAGACATAGATAGTGTTAGAGTCATGTCATCGAACCCACAAGAAGTAAGATGTCCCTGTATTGGACCGGCACATGATTATTGAGTACCGAAGATAGCAGTTCTTCACCAGGATAGCTCACCGTCATGGAGTAGAGTACTGGCAAGGCTTTGTGTATCTTGACCGGGCGCGAAACGTCGGGACATTTTTACCGTCTCGAAAGTTTGGTACCATGTAACGCATAGAACCAGTAGATCTGCGGCCACGAGGGAGAATCGGCATGCCATAACGACTAGCGAAGATAGGCTTCAGCGTGTGTATCGGGACAATGATGCCATAGAATGTCAACCTACACCTACCACATACAACGTCAGTTATGACACGAAAAGAGATTGCAATGGGCGCATTACCTCATATTAATGTTTGGGGCTAGCGTATCCACAGCAACGTTTCCTGGCACCGTCGGGTCGTACACATAGGATGTCCAACGCAAATCATGCTTTACGAAGAATGACAATAGCTATCAGAGACGCTACTTGTGGTGATACCAATGCCTGGTACCTACAAGCATATTCACAACCAAGGGGACCAATGCAAGGGAAAAAACTATGGCTGAGATAAACGATTTGTATGGCTTCGGACACAAGGCGTATGTTCTGAGTGCTGAGAATGCTGTACAAGGAACCTGCGAGTTAGCCCTCTCTATGCACAACATGGGGAAGGTGGAACGTACCAGCCCAAGGAAGATACTGCAAGGAATCAATCACATAAAAGAATTCAAACTGATGGAGCGCCCTGACTCGGACCGTTCTCGTCATATGTATATCCTCCTCCACGCTTGTTGAAATGGCTCACCCCTGCATAATCATTAGCACGATCTCATCAGATACATGAGTCACTAGTGGACCACACCTGTAAAGACTTAGGGACCTGTGTCCAGTATCCAATCTGCATCACGAGATTGAAGTATCGGTTTAGCAAGAAGAGAACAGATGCCCCGTTGATTCGCATCGGAATCCAGAACAGAGTGACCTCGTTATGAAACGTGATGAGGTAGTCGTAGTATGAAAGCGCTAGACGATGCACGTAAAAAGTCTGCTATAAGCAAGTACCTCGCCGTCGATGTACTGGTTGTATGGCGTACCTTGGGCAGCAACACCGCAATAATTGTCGTACATGGCTACACTACACTCATTGTTGGTCAGGTTGCAGGAATGGGATAGAAGACGTATACATACTACGCCGAAGCTATGATAGCTTGGGCATCAGCGTTGCCCGACATGTTGAATGAATGAATTGCGGGGCTCAAGGAGAGAAATCTGGAATAGGCGGGTGAGGAGTGACTTAGCATGCTGTCAGACAAGGGAGGTCTTTTTATCTAGGTAAGCAACGTTCCTGGCACATCAAACCTTATAATAAACAAATAACACGGGGAGGGGACACGAGACTGTTTTTAGAGTACATGTGCGTCTTTGATGCCGAAGACTTTTGGAAGTCGACGCCAGAAGGTTTAGCCAGCATCCATCATTTCATTCAGACTGCCTCCGGCCGCGTGATTGCTTCAAGGATCGTGGGGATCCCCAACAGCAAGTAGAAGTCCTGGTACATCTTTACCGAGAATTCGATGAAATGTCAAGAAACGAGGGACAAGGCCCTTAAGATACCATGACTCTCACCACATTCACATGACTACGAATGCCATGCATACAACGTAAGTTTAGTCATAACGATCAGCTTCCAGCCAGTGTTCTTGATCCTCCCCTCTGAGAGAAATAAGCCGAATGTGAGCTGTCTTGTGCCTGGTGAAAGTGATTTCCGAAGTCACTATTTTCATCATGAAGCTAAGAAGGCTCCTGAGGGTCCGTCGGCGGTGCTGTGCATTTTCTGTTACCATAGGCCTGGTTGCAGTCGGCCCCCCAAGCCAGTGGCGCGTCTTGCTCTGCAGTGCGATATGGTGCCGCTAATTCGGGTGACGCACAACGTGGATCACTCCGGTCTCAGAAGGTCCTGACGCTCGTCAGGTGGCCGCCGCCAGAGAGTTCAGCTGCGCTCTCGGAGAGTACCTCAAGAACCTGATAGCGAAGGGGAGAAGGTCAAATGGTGCCGGCCAGTCGATCTAGTTTTGTCAGCGGAGTTAGCATGTCATTTACGGTACATACCACGGGTTGAGCTGGAGCACTAGAAGTAGCGAGCCTAAACTTCAGGCACGTTGTTCAACGTACCGTACAGCGCATAGCAGTCTTATGTCGTTTTGAGCGTTCGCTCACCAATGTCACCACAAACGTGTGCAATGTTATGTCGAGGCCTTGCACAACGCGGCAACGACAAAAAACCAGCGGCGGGAGTCACAGCTGTCGACATGGGAGCGAGATACAAGATGTGGCTGAGGCTGTGTCCCCCGATGCAGTCGGAATGTCGCACAATTGCCCGCTCCGGGTGTCCGATGGTACCGCCCGCCGGCCGAGTCACTGCCTTGTGAAGTCTCTAAATTTCGTCTCAGCGCAATCTCCTTTCCCATTAGTGCTCATGAGCTCGACCGTCTGCTAACACATATCTTTCGCCACACCTCATGGTGCAGCGGCATTCATGCCATCGTTGCCTTGCTCTGTACTCTGATGTAGACCTGTTTTCATTACCTTGTTTAATATTACTCGTTATAACTCTGGCCGCGGCTCGTGCCCCGAATAGCGCAAATCTATAGTACCTACATCCCTCCAGGAAATCTGTGGGACAAGTCCTGATGAACATTGCACGGCCCTGTTCCTTGACGTTCCATCTCGTGCACAAGAAACAATGCCTTTGAACGCCTATGCATCGACACAGGCTGGTACTGAGACGAGTCGTACCATGGGCAGTGGTCTTTCCACCAGCAAAACAGTTCGATCTGCATGAGATAATCGACAAAAGATTGGGTTTGCACTGGGAACTAGGATCCAGGATAAATACAGTTTGGACTAAACATGGGACGATGAATGCTGGACCCCAACTTCATGATTGCCAAGAAGATTTTGCGACTAATCTCGCCTAAGGCTGATCTGTGTCATCCGACTCTAACTGATCTTGATGAAATGCGAGTGGAGTCCACATAGATCCAATGAAGCTGTTGACGTTTCCCGACGGTCGGGCATGAGAAACCATCTCAGACACTTGTGTGACAGACGGTGAAGAGCCTGTCAGACCGCGATTGAATTGTTGCAAGTTTATGGGAAGTCTTAACGTCGGTATGGAGGTTTTGAACTTTAGTAAACGTGCTGGAACGAGGCTTATTCGTTTGGAACCAAGCAGTACATACGGTTCCTCAAATATAGGTATGACGCGTGTTCGACTGTATGTTCCGCCTGCGACCTATTCGAGGTCAGATGGGGACTAAATCGACTGGCCTCCGACTTACCACAGTGAGACTGAATGCAACGTAAAAACGTTGAGAAGCAGTTGCTTCAAGGTTGGCTGGTGCGTGTTCCGGAGTAATGAGCGACCAGCAGTTGACCCTGCAGCGGGTTAGCCCATACTCAATGGCGAAGCGAGGTCGCTGAGGCCGGAACGCCATGGCATAGGTGGTTCATAAGCCAGCGCTCATTTTCTCGTCCGTTGAAGAATCTCGACGGTCTCGCGTGTCCGGCATCATGTTCATGTACAAACCTACTTCAGTAAGAGAGAGCTCGTCGCCATTTCGTCCCTGTTGAACTCACTACTGCGGGGCATGTGTTAGACCAATAGATGTGATTATTGTCAAATCACGCCCACGTAGTCAATGTCGTTGAAAGCCCACAGCCCTCGTCGTACTTGGTCCTCGTCTGCGCAGCTCCTCGAGACGATGTCGTGGAGACAACGATAAGAAGGTTCGTTGTGCAGCACAGCGAGTTGATATAGTTACATTACCATGCGGGTTGTGTGGCGAGTAAGCACCGGAAGAACATGCTATGCCCCCTTATGCGGGAGTCTAAGCCGTGTACCAGGTGCCCACATACCATCGTGATTACCGCTCTAATAGTGCAGTGCCTTCATACCGAAGCAATCTCGACGCCATGAACCTGCGTCAACCCCTCCACCACTAAGAGGTGAGTAGCGGTGGGTCGAACCGCATGATAGGGAGCAAAGAGCGGCACATGATACACAAGAACTTCGGGGAGATGGGCAAGAACGCGCATGACGGACCGAGATTTCGCCTTCCCAAGCGGTGTTTCGAAGGCATAGCGGTCAAGCACGCAACGCGAAGTATTGATATTTAATGAAGATCATCGACATACGCATACAGCTCGAACAGTATATACGGCAAGACCATTGCTAAGGAATGGAAGGCAAGTCAGCGCGACTGAGAATCAAGCAAGTCCGGAGTAAGATCAGAAAAGCCGATGTTTTCATTTTTCCCCCCACAGTGACCCCATTTCGACCCGGTCCATGGTCATCAAGACGATGTCCACAAACGCGACCCAGGGTCCGCAAGCGAACAAAGGGTGGGAGAGACGAAGTATATGAGGGGACGCTCAACGAATGGATGAACTTGTTGTCGTCCCGGACGAGATACCGGGGAAGTACACTCACCTATACAGCACGACGACGTGATAGCTACTGAAAGCGAGCAAGACCTAGAAGACAGAAAGGTCAGCAACACGTCGTGCGAAGACGATGGATAGGAGAGAAGATCAGAATTGAGAGTTTTGGTATGAGGTTGTCCACTAGGAGGTTGCCCTCGCTTTCGGAAGCAGAACTGATTGAAAGATTCATCATACAAAGCGAAGCCATCGCTGGCCGCCGCTCAAGGGAAGGTGTAACACTCACCAGCACAATCAGCGGGAGAAGGCAGGGAGCAAGACCGCCATCGTGGACGGGCGCAAGAGAGGCGAATTGTTCTGGGCGTCCCTTGGGCAAAAGCCAACTGTACAGCTGGCCAACTCCGCTCAGCTCCGCTGCACGGGTCGGGGAAGGAGCCTGAACAATCCTAGCGCGAGACGACACCTTTCAAGATTTGACACCTCATTCAACTTGCCATTAGGCCTTGTTGCCCGACGAATGTACAGCTACCTCAACAGTCTTTCCTAGCTTCAGTTTGGTGAGTCTTCCTTCCATTGTGTCTGCGATGAAGATAGTTTATCCATAAACATTCGAGTTGGCGAACTCAACATGAGCCGTACTCATCTAACATGCATCACCAACGGAGCCCCTTTGATGTTTATCTCCTTCGAGAGATAGCCGTATCGAACATTCACTGACTACATACCTTCACATTTAGATGATGGTTCACAAGTCCATCCTACCGAGTGTTGCTTACGCGGTTCCGGGCATTATGGTAAGCGTGTGGCACGACGAAGCCGTCTTCTATCGACGAAGCTCTGCATTGGAGTGTGCCCTCTCCCCTCAGCATATCTCGACCACGGTTGGGACACGGTGTACCTAAGTGTCAGTCTGCAGGTTGTCGGACGCCGGTCGAGGGAACTCTAGGTGAGGCTTAGCCATTCGATCTCTTCACTTCGTTTTCCTTCGTCTGTGATGATTTCATAAAAATTTCTTGACAAGCATATGTCCGAAATCTACATGTAGGACACCGTATGTTCTCTGAGACTTTTACCCTCGCTATCTTCCAGACCACAGAGGATTGTCCGCTGACTATCACCTATGCTAGGTTTGTACTCTTTACCCGTCGAAGATATGTAGTCGATGTCTGTAGACATGTGTAATTACCCTCAATATCATGCCTGTTGTCTTTTCCTTTTTGCGTTTGAGATAAACCGCTGCTCGTACATTGCCGGGATCGCGTGCTTCGGAGACAGTACTATCGCGACCCCAGTGTTCGGACAGACCCCAGTGTTCGGACAAACGACCGTATCTCCGTCATTGTACACCCGATAAACTTGCAAGTTGAAAGGTAGGTGCTCATATGTGTTCCAAATCAGCAGAAAAAAGAACTGAATTTGTATCATAAGCCCTTGGGGCGATCTTGAGGAATGGAGTGGTGCAACCCATCCCTATCAAAGCTTCGGGAGCCTCGCTTCGTATCCCTCTTCGGGCGCTTCCATCCAAATCTCGTGTACGTATTTCAACCTACGCATATTACTCAATACCCAAATTTTCCGAGGCCTGTTCAGGGGAACACAGAGGAGAAACAAGAAGCAGCCCTCGAGGGCGTGACAATGCAGCCACAGTTTGACTCTCCGACTTGCTCGGGATGCTCGGCTAAGGCTCATCAAGCTGGAGAACGGGGATTCCCCGAAGACCGGCAGGTGTCGGCAAGCGTGACAGATCGTGACCTGCTGTGCGGAGAATTGTCCGAACACTGGGGTCAGGCCCTGTATATCCTGCCTCCATCGCTCGTGTCTCCTTCAATATTTCTCATGTTTGGCACATAGTCTATGCATATGCATCTCCTTTTGCATGCCAAAAATGAGCATTATCGGAGTACAGGAAAGTACATAAAACGAAGGGAATTCGCAGAGGGCGCCTTTTTGTCCGAACACTGGGGTCGCGATAGTAGTACGGTGCATACCGTAGATCAAATTTTCAAAGCTGATTTGACAGCCGTCGGGACCCGGCTTCGATGGACAC